ATCAATGGTATGCTTTTATATTTCATGTAATGTATAGAATCTCTACTGAATATAATGAACAATTATTGTTCTCCATTTCAGCTTCTACTGGAATACATTTTCAGAAAACATAAAAGGCTTATTGACTTCAGTGTACTGTAGATTTAGGCGTAATGAGAAAAAAGTTGATACATGTACTTTAAGAATAAAACAAGTTTACGTGAATCATTTGATTTGCATGCTAACTAGTTAATTAAGATCTATTCTATACCGCCAGTGTTTTTAAACTTAGATTCAAATTAACTAGAATCATCTACATCACTGCTTGTAATGCCAAATCCAGGAGCAAAGATTATGATGCAAACAAGGCATCATGTGAAGAAGAAGAAAGAAGTCCTCATGTTCAATCCATAGAAAAGTGAAATTAAAAGAATTAAACGGCTAAAATCACATATATCCCTAGTACATATTGTTTTGTGGCACAGGAGGAACAGGAGGTGATGAGCCAACATTCGCCATGAAGGAATTGATGAGACATCTGAAGCAAAGGTGGAGTGCTACAGGTCCACTGGGTTCGGGAGAACCCGTAGCTAACATTATGGCTGGTTTGGAGAACCTCCAAATCCTACCCCTGTCTGGCCCTGCCTGCCCCTCCCCTCCCAGGAGATCCCACGTAACCTGTTTTGGATGCGAGGTAAGTGCAGGGCCCGTGCAGAGGCTAGGCGAGGGGAAAAATAGGCCTCCTGGAAGTTCCAGAAGGTCAGAAACGGGGCCTCCAGAGCCCGGGGCAGGCAGTTTACACCCTCCCAGAGGCTCAAGGAAAGCTTCTGTAGCCTGGGGAAGACTAAAACGGTCCCACGCCATGGTGCAAGAGGTGAACTAGGCCATGCCCACCATGGCCATGCCCACCCAGCAACTGGGCAGAGAACCCATTGCTGAAATTTTTGAACACCACCACCACCACCCCGATCTGAAGACCAGGCGCCAGAAAGTAGAATAAAGCAGACATTCTTTCGAATGGGAAACTCTGTGGAGTTGAAACATTTCTAAGCATTACAAAAGAAAATACAAAAGTTATTGTGAAAGAAAAACTTTACTGCAAATTCATCTACTCTGCAGCTGAGCCAGAAATCAATCAGGTTCGGTTCTCCGACATTGCTGATATTAAGTTACTTTCAAATTGGCATCAATATCTAACATGAAAGTGGCTTTACCGTTTGAACACTACAAACTCAAAGGAGAACAGAATGAATAAAACAAACACACATATACTGAAAAGTTGCCTTTACGCCACTCTTGGACAATATAGTGATAATGATGACCTGCTTTTGTTGTTGTTCTCAGATGGGGGGAAATGTCATTGCTTCTATGTCATTATGCTGACCTTGATTTGCATACAAATAAATATTTCATAAGAATACGCTCTATCATCAGCACTTTACTTGTTCAAATGTAAGACTAATTTACATTCAGTATGTTGCTTCTACTGACCATCACCACTATACTCAGTCTCTCAAGCACACATACAAGAATTCTTTAGGGAAACTTGTCAGAAAATAAGCCCATAAGGAATGCATAAAAAGTTGAAATGATAGAAATAAACCAACACTGAAATATTAACCATTTCAGTTCACATATGCATGAGAAGAAATACATATATATTTTCCCATCTTTTCAATTTACAGTAATAGTAACATAATCCCATGCATATAAATTATTGTGGATTCACTACCAGTACTTACAAACAGATTAAAGGTGAACTATAGATTTTTCCATTAGCGCTCTATTCTGTGTTAACGAATATATTAGTTCAATAAGATGAAGGTAAAGCTTTTTATGAGAAACTAAGACAGAATTGATGGGAAAAATAGATTTGGATAATGACAGTTCAACTGCTGCATGAGCACACTATTCATTTCTTCATGGATTATGGTGCAACACCTCCACACAGTGGCAATTATGGGAATTTCCCTTAAAACTCTAATGGATGTATTGATATCAAGTTGTATCTCGCAGGAGAGGTGGAAAAAGGCAAAATTGTCTAATATACCCAAACAGTTTGGAACAGCTTCTGATGCTATATATGAATTGAATAACACTGTAGCAGTGAAGCAACATATTTAATTGCATGAGTGCATTCGTTTCTGCTCTTTATTTTGGAGGAGAGTTGCCAATGCAATGAAAACTTCCTTCCAAAATGATGGATGAAATCTCTGCCTTGAACATGCAAAGCTACTATCAATCTGTGAAAACGTCATTAAAACCTATTGTACTACCATAAAACAAATAGAACATCATATATTTTATTACCTCAAAGCATGGAATTATTTTTTACAAAGAGTATAAACAATTTACTTGGGGATTACGAAAATTGAACCCAAGACTTTTTGTTTACAAAATCCATGTTCTATTTTGCTAATGGGTTTTCAGCCCCATATATCTTAATGAGAAATAATGCTAAGCACACTATGTATAAATTTAACATACTTAGTAAAATGGACTTCAGTGTGTTTAGCTTCAGAAGAATTGAGTCCAATAGTTGATACTGCATTTTGTTGATAATCTCAATAGGATACTTACAGAACACTTCAATCATTCAGATGACTCCTCCTGCTCTCCAATATTAGATACTTTCACTAGCAATACCAGCATAGAGATGCACATGTGAGATTTCCACTGCATCCATATCTTGCTTGACATTGGCTTAATGAAAGGCTTGCCTTCCCCATAACTTTACCTAATGTTATGATGACATATGGTATTTGTTTCAGTTAATGCATCTAAATGAACATTGAATCAAAAGCCTACTAGATATTTGCAGAACAACCTGTGTTTATGATTATTTCTGCCCTCTTATGTACTCTTACAGGGTCATCATGTTCTAGGCACCTCCTTGAGGCAATGTCATCTGATGGGACCTAACAAGGAAGCCTTTTGTCTTATGAAACCTGCCTTTCTGATCAAACTCCCCCTGCCTCAGCTTGAAATTCAGATGACTGAAATGCTCTTAGCTTTCAAGAAAGCTTTTAAAACTTGTCTTTGTCTTTATCTTTGGGCATTGGCCCAGAATGATAGATGAGCCCATCTTCTGGGTGGAATTATGATGTAGTTGAGATACTGGCTTATGGATTTTGTCTGCAGTTGATATTTTGTCATTTTCATTGCATGATTTTAGGAGTGACAATTATTTCATGTACCTTGACTGGAATACTGACTACATGGCCTGAGTGACTATATAAATCTTCCAAATAAGATGAAAATCCATTTCAAACATATTTGTAACTCACATTTATATTGTTGTTCTTCTTTAACAAAACAGGCTTTTTATTCCACTGAATTGGCTTTTAAGGAAAATTTATCATTAAAGTCAAAATGTTTGACAGCTACTCTACTGTTCAATTGTTGCAATGCATTAAATATGGGATAATTTGATTTTTTTTTCATTATGTGCCCTCAGGTAGATGTCACATCTTAGTGACTATATAGGTTTCTCCTTGACAATATGCTCCTAACCGCTTCAAGTGTATGTCCTTTCTTTGTTACTATAAATAAGCAAAGCCTTCAGTTAAAGATTTTGTTCTCTCCCTTGCTTCTCTTATCTATTTAATTTTCTTATGACTTGTATTAAAAGACTATAGTCATGTTTAGTATTTTAAGATAATATATTTAAAATAGTTGGACAAATGTAATTTAAACGGACTAATCCCAATTTAGGTTGAAATTATGCTTGAATATATTATAACACAATTAGATTCCAAATAAATTTCAAAATAAAAGTGGTACTCCACCCTTGGAAGAGAAATATCTGATTCCATATAGCTTGACTTTCTAAGTTTATCATATATGGAAAAATAACATGTCACTTTCAATGGCTCACATGCTTGTCTCATTGTTAATAAACTTCAGTCATATCATCACAATCTCAAATGAAAATGAATGTATAATGAACACATATGCCAAGAAAACTAATAGATCTTGATTTTAAGTACCGGTAATTGAGATTTTTAACCTGTGGTCTCTGGAGAATCACCTTTAGCACTGCTTGCAGGTTCAAATGAATCTGGATGTCTCTTTCGCATCCAGAGGTTTTCATGGCATGTTAACTGCAATGCTTCCTATACAGTGTCAGTGTTGTTTTATATTCATTAGAATTATGTTTGTTTGTTGTAGAACAAAGAGATTTAAAGCTATTCTTGAAGACTCTCTAGATTTTACTATTTAATCCAAATAGCAATAGTACTTAGAGTTACTGTATCTATTATTCCATAGTGCTTTACAACATTCTCTGTGTACTTTACCAACCTCAGAAGAATGGAAGGCTGAGTTAATTTTGAGCCCATCCAGACTGCAGGCAAAATTAGACTGCAATACTGCATTATAATCACTGCAACTATCTAACTACTACTTCAGGCGTGGCCAAGATGCTTGGCTTCTTGAGCCAAGGTGGCGCAGTGGTTAAATGCAGCACTGCAGGCTACTGCTAGATCAGCAGTTCAGCGGTTCAAATCCCACCGGCTCAGGGTTGACTCAGCCTTCCATCCTTCCGAGGTGGGTAAAATGAGGACCCAGATTGTTGGGGGCAATATGCTGACTCTCTGTANGGAGATCTGCATGGAGGAATGGGCCAGCATACCAGCAACAGTGTGTGCCAACCTTGTGAAGACTTACAGAAAACGTTTGACCTCTGTCATTGCCAACAAAGGATATATAACAAAGTATTGAGATGAACTTTTGATATTGACTAAATACTTATTTTCCACCATAATTTGCAAAAACAATTCTTCCTAAATCAGACAATGTGATTGTCTGGATTTGTTTTCTCCTTTTGTCTCTCATTGTTGAGATCTACCTATGATGTCAATTACAGGCTTCTCTCATCTTTTTAAGTGGGAGAACTTGAACAATTAGTGGCTGACTAAATAGTAGTAGTAGTAGTAGTAGTAGTAGTAGTAGTAGTAGTAGTAGTAGTAGTAGTAGTAGTAGATTCTTCCACAATTATCTGAAGTAGTAAGAATACTGCCTTTTTATAAATAGTCTGAAGATTGCAATTTTTATTAGGAACAATAAAAAGTAGCATAAGTGAAATAAACTAGATGTAATAACTGCCACAAATTAAGTGCTTGTCTCTTTTATAATATCACAATTGTCTTGTATATTTACATGTTAGTTATATGTAAATAACTAAATGAATAAGGGTTGTACATAACAAATAAGACAAATAACAAATTTCAAAGCAACATTATTTCATAAATTCCCCATGAAAACACTCTATTAAATTTAGCACTGTTATAACCTTTCACGCATATACTGATTTAAGTAACAATCATTTTAATAATGTTGCTGCCTAAGCAGAAAATTCTATCAAAAATAAAAAAATGCTTTGTTTTGTACAACCCTGAGATTAAACTGTGAAGGGTATTTAACTAAGACTTAAAATTAAGACTTTGGCAAAAGAATCTCTTGCAAATTTAACAGATTCATCACACTTCTGTATTCTTCTACCCCAAAGAGGGAAAAAAGGAAAGCTACAAGCAGTCAAGATGACAATATTACATCTGCAATTACTTTATGCTTCTCATTTATACTTGATTCTTCCTGGCTATTCACTCCCGCCCGTCCTCTATATCAGTACTTAGCAGAAGTTGACAGGAAAGTAGAAGTATCTTCTCACCTTCCCTTCCCTTCTCATGTAGAAAATAATCTGCCAAAGTAATTTTTCAAATTGTAAATTTGGGGGCAAGAATCAAGCCAACAATTACCAGCAGCAAATCTCTATGATTATCTCATAGTAGGAAAGCATTAATTTCTTAAAAAGGCAAATAAATTACTGAATGCTTTGAGTGCTCTCCTGCTGTATTTTCCAAGGCACACATACTTTTCTCCCTCGTTTTGCAAAACAGAACAGTCAGTATTTTTGAGGCTCAATCAAGGCAAGTTCCTTGGACACATAAAATTCCTGCAGTTCTTCTTGCTCGTATTTTATGCTTGGCCTTTCTATATGGGTCCCAGGCTCTATCGCATTCTGGCCAACAATCTTTAGATTGACAAACTTGATTTTCCATGTATTCTCCCTAAATGGGCAGCGGATGAGGCCAAAGATTTGTTCAAAGATTCCCAAACAACAAGTACTTCTATGAACTGTGCCAGCTACTGCTACCACAACTAATCCATATGGTGAAACTGTACACTTCAGGCCACCTGCATTCAAGTTGGGATTCAGAAAGAGGTATTCTTCTTTCACTAATGACAACAAGCGAAGGCTCACCAATTCTGCACCTGAGTACTCTTCCATGTTTTGTTCCGAAGTGTGGTAACAAAATTTTAGCGTTACATCAGCCCAAAAATGTTGTGGTCCCCATTCTTGTTGTGGTTCTCCAATCAATGGGTTCTGAGAGTTTAGCATTCTAAAATACCACTGACAAAATTCTTCTGCCAGATTGTGACACTCTTTGATGTCATCTTGATCTCCTTGTGTTCTTCCATCTTCTTGTTGCTGAAAAATAAGAAACATAAAGTAGAATAGAATAATCACTTTTACTTTATAAAATAACAAAAAATAATTAAAAAGATCCTTAAAAATTCAGAGAAAGTGGAATGAATGGTGACAGGAAAACGGTTCTTGCTTTGTAACGGTATTTATGAATGTATATGCTTTATTTATGGACTAAGGGCTTGAATAACAATTGATTTGGAGCCATTTTAAAAAACAAATGGAGGATTTATATTTCTTTTTATAATCTGTTCTATGTTCTGTTTAGTGCAATGCACTGCAAATTACTTCATAAAACATTTCAAACATGTTTGTTAAAAACTGGTTAAGGATAATTGTGAAAGATCTCATAGAATGTTTGCTACCCATCCACTATTACTTGTATTACATAAAACCTAATAAAACAATCTGAGGACCCAGATTGTTGGGGGCAATATGCTGANATGAAGCGGTATATAAGTCTACTGCTATTGCTATTGCTTGAGGCAGAGAAGAAAATTAGAATCATTTCCAGGCAATGCACCTGTTGAGTGTACCTAACAATTCAACAAACCATAGAACTGTCTTTCTCAAACTTGGAAACTTTTAAGATGTGTGAACTTCTTAGTTCACACATCTTAAAGTTGAAGCCCACACATCTTAAAATTGCCAAGATTTAGAAACACTGCCATAAATAGATGTAGGATATAGGTGTGAGCGTGAATGCTTAATAGTGAAATCAAATAATTAAAAGTCTGAATTATTCATGTGTATTTCTTTACATGGTCTTTCATTCTTATAGTCTGCATAACTGGCAGTTTTCCTATTTCTAAAATACCTAACCAGCCACAAATAAAATTTTCCCAACATCTTGTCATCTTTTGGGTAGCAATGTGACTACTTTAGCCAATAACTATCAAATGTAAAGATATTTATGCAGCAGGTCTTCCAATAGCCACTTCGTTTGTATATCTTGCTCCATTTGTTCAATCAAATGTCCTTATTTTTCTTACAATAGAATTACATTATTTTTCTTATTTCGAGTGAGTGTAAAGATAGGCAAACAGGTGCTGAAAGAAAACAATTCCCGTTCCATTCTTCCCACTGATATGATTGTTACAATTTGTAGTCAGGTAAAGTGTGTGGGCCACCCTGGTGCTTTCTATTTCAGTCTGAATCCTAAGCCTACAGGGATCCAGATTCTCAGACAGGGGTTAGTTAACAGGTCAGTTGAAATTTTGTTGTCAGCCAGCTCGCTCTCATTTTTTTCTCTGACAGCTGTCATGGATAACATTTCCCTGTACAGTATAGTCTAACAGGTCTTTTTTTCATTTTTTTTTAAATCACAGCTTGACATCATTGACCAATTGGGAGAAGGCTAGCTTTCAAAAACAGCAAGGCTGAGTTCAATTTTTATCAATGGCAGGTGAATCGTCTCCATCTAAGGGAGGTAATTCGGGACTGAGGAAATATATAGCACTTGCAGTTCTCTGTTCCAAAAGCAAGATTAGTACTTTTTCCTGCATGCATGAAAGAAATGCATCTCTGGTCTTTCCTCCCGCCTTTTTAGATAAGATATTCAATTCTTCCCTTCATTTTTCAGAACATGTATTTGACACGACTGACTTCTATGAGCACCTCCACCACAAGAAGAAGTCATTTTGCATCAATTCACCATTTAATATTTTTAAAAAGGCATCAGAAGAAACAAGCTGATGGGGGGGGAGGTGAATCTCAAGGTGGTGCTCTCTCACTCACATTGATGATTTATTCATAGGCAATCTAAAACAGTCAACACATTTAGCAGAGAAATCCCCTGGGACTGTCTTATATCCACACTATCCAGAAAGAATGCATTCTTTCAAAATGGCTTTGGCAATACATTCTGAGGAGTCTTTTTTTCCCCTTCCCTCACTAAAATGCATTCACCATTTTTGATTGTATGAATAAGTCATGTGTTAAATGAGCTCCACATTAGCATTACCTCTTCTTCTGATTCACATTACCCATTTAGAAATAAAATACAGTTCTTAACCTCTGCGCCTCCCTCTCCCCGTCCTATTGATTGGAGGAGATGGAGGAGAGGATTACCGGATTGGTTTGTAGCAGGATGGAATTTGCCTAGTAGATTGAGTGATCAGGGACTAGGAAAAACTAAAGTTGCCCTTGAGTTAAACATAGCAAGAACTGTACAACCTTTTCCCATCATTACTTCAACTGAGTAATTGATCCAGGCAGTTTTTCAAAAGTATTTTGCTTTTTGTTTTTATTGTACATAAGCAGAGTATATTAGATCAGAACAGAGCCCAATAATGGAGCAAATACTGCAAGAAAAAAAGTCAGTATGCGGATAGTGCCAGTGCAAATGGTCTGGATCCTTTGAATACTAGTGGAATATTCTTTTTTAATGAGAAGTTCCTATAAAGAGAACAACTGTATCTCATGCAGATTAGGAAATACAGGCGGTCATCAATTTACAAGTTTATTTAGTGACAGTTCAAAGTTACAGTGGTACTGAAAAAAGTGACTTATGACCATTTTTCATACTTAAGACCTTGCGGCATCCCTGTGGTCACATGATCAAAATTCAGATGCTTGGCAACTGACTCATATTTAGAATGGCTGCTATTTCCTGGGGGGGGGGTTGTTCATGTGACCACTTTTTGTGACCTTCTTGCAAAGTCATAGGTTACTAATTTATCAACTATAGTGATTTACTTAAGAATTGTGATAATAAAGGTTGTAAAATGGGGCAAAACTTACTTGATTTAGCAACAGAAATTTTGGGCTCAATTGTAGTAGTAAGTTTAGGACTACCTGTAGAAAAAGAAAAAATTAGGGAGTACCTGCCAAACATACCTGAAGGGAGGGATAGCCCAGAAAATAGTGTGACAGTAAGTGTTGGGGAGAAGACTAAAAGTAATATGCAGGTAGTGGAGGCACTAATAATGAGCAAGCATTGAAGAATATATCAGGTTACATATTCCAATATTTGCAGTGTTTCAGTATACATTCTTAAGGTATGGAAAACAAGCAGCAAGAATTAAACACTTTCTTTCAGAAAGGCAAATAGGATTTAGTAGTCATTACTCAAAACTGGCAGGATGACATTCATGACTTAAACGCAAGAGTTGAAGGGTATACCAAATTCAAAATGAATAGGCCTTCTTTGACAAAAGTAGCATTATTTGTGAAGGGAACATTTCATGTAAAGATCTATGAATTTGACCATAAAAGTCCAGCAAAGAGCATTCAGGGAAGAATAAAGGGGAGAGGAAAATATCAATGAAATTACTGCTCTATAATCAAGCCAGGATGAAGATGGATAAATGTCCTTCTGTATTAGATTATAGAACTTTTAGGGAAGAGAGATTTCAACTATCTAGAAAGCCAAGACTGCATGGTCGCCAAAAAAAAACCTGTTTCATTTTTCAAAAGTTGAGGAACTGACAAGAGAATTGCCTTGCATAGATCTGATAACTAATATGGAAGAGTTAATTGATTAAGTAAAAACAGTAGAACCTTAGGAGGAAAGGATCACGCCACGGCTGTCAGATTCTAAAGGAAGTTCATTTTGAGCAGAAGCATACATGCATAATAATTTCTGAACCAGGCACTAGAGGCTTAGAGAGGCACTATGTAGGATCTTATGGACAGAAATCCTTTTAAAGAAAGTGCAGGTGGGTTAGGAATTTCTCAAAAATAAGATACTGTAAATACTACTGTACACTATTCAAATAAGAAAAGCACATGGAGAACAGCTGAAAATACTACTGCAGTTTTATATAGAGACCTGTGTAATGAGCTTGGAACTGAAAAGCATAAGAAATTTAAGATAGAACTAAGGTAAATCAGAAGAAGTCTAATTTTTCAGAAATCAATTAGAAAAGCTTAAACAAAAGAAACAGCTTAAAAGAAAAACTGAAGACTTTAAAAAGTATCTTGTTTGGCAATACCAGTAGTAATGGAAGAAAAAACTAATTGTAGGCTGCTGCTAAAAGAAGATGAAAGGATAGTAAGAGATGATAGGGAGAAATTGGTGTTCTTGAATTTCTAGTTTGAGAACAGATGGCAAATGGGCTCAAGTGGGCTTAAGCAGAACAATTTATACGAAGGGGAACTGGCAATTCAAGCTGAATAAAGATATGGAAGCAATGAGCTACCATGAATGAATTTCTATAGAACCAACTCTGTTACATCAGTTTTGAAGGAGTATGCAGATGTCATTTCACAGCTCTTCTCTTCAAAAAGATGATGATGATGATGATGATGATGATGATGATGATGGTGATGGTGGTGGTGGTGGTGGTGATGGTGATGATGATGATAAAAGAACCCACATAATTTACAAAACTGTTATCTAGTAAAACTTTAGAACAGATTATTTTTAACAGTTAAAAATAATGCATTATTCAACAGAACCAAGCTTATCCAAATTACAGTATGCCATGCTGAACAAATTTGATCTTTCTTGGTAGAGTGAATGGCTTAGTTAACCACGGTAATATGGTGAATATAGTGTGCATTGATTTCAACAGAACATTTGGCAAAGTCTTCCACATTATTGTAAAAGAAAAAAAAAGAAAAATATGAGCTGGTCTGCAACACTATTAAGAGCAGACTGTACAATCATACTGTACCCAACAAGTATGTATCAAAGGTTCAGGGTAAGGTGAAAGGAAGTGTGAAGCAGCATATTACAAGGTACTATTCAATGTCATGTATTGTTCAACATATTATAAATCTACTTAATAAGGGATCAAAAAAAGATGGGAAGAGTGATGGAACAGCAAAGACTATCCCAAGATTCAGGAAGGTCCTGATAAACTAGATCAATGGGAGATTTCAGCAACATGAATTTAAATTCCTTATGAATTTTCAAATTACAAATTTGAGAGCTAGTATGGTGTAGAGTAGTGCTTTTCAATCCATGGTACGCATACCACTGGTGGTACTTCAGCACCTGGCTGGTGGTACGCCTACGACAGGTTGAAAAGCACCGTTTAAAAAGAAGTGTAAAAGGG